AACAACAACAACAACAAATGAATTACCCAAGTAGGTTAATAAGAGGCTCTGCTATGATTCAACCCATAATCCCGGGAAGCCACAAACCCTGTTTCCTCAAGCCAAGATATTCCATTTCAGAAATTTAACTCAGCAACACCATCTCAGGTAAAACAGATTATGCTTCCTATTTTCTAAAACCAAAGGACCTAAAACAAGAGAGGGCCTTTAATCCAGATCATACAGCAAATCAAATCAGGAGTCACAACAATTAATACTTATCTAACTTTCAGTGTGCCCCAGGAAGTAATCCACCTGACAACMCCCTGAAGAAAGCTCTATTATCAGGTCACTTTCTGATTAGAAAATTAGGGGACAGGGGTTGGGGTTGTGGCTCAGTGGGAGAGCACTTGCCTAGCATGTGTGAGGAACTGGGTTCGATCCTCAGCACCACACAAAAATAAATATATAAAATAAAGATGCTGCAACCAACTAAAATAAATAAATAAATGAATGAATGAATGTCTGGAAAAGGAAGGAAGGAAGGAAGGAAGGAAGGAAGGAAGGAAGGAAGGAAGAAAGGAAAGAAAGGCATTGTGTCTATCTACAAATGAAAAAAAAATTAAAAGAAAATTAGAACACAGAAAAGGTAAATAACTTGTTCAGGGTCACACAGCCACTACAATTATACTATATACTCAGGAAAAATACACTGGACTGGGAATGAAAAGTCCCTTTGGCTGTGAGGGGAAACTCCAGAAACTCAGAACCTCATTCAACTTCTCTATGCCTCAGTGTCCCATGATGTTCCCATAAAATGAGAATGTCAGCCTGGACAATTTTCCAAGTTTATTTCAGCTTTTATTATTCTTCTTACAGAGAGAAGAGTTAAGTCCTAAAGGGACATCAATCTGAGATTAAGTGTAAAATCTTTGTCCATTTACCAATTCCGTGTCACCCTAATGGGGGACTTCACAGCAACAGAAGGCATTARCCAATTTCTGCTTTTCCCTTTTCTTTTTTCTCAGTACTAGCAACTGAACCCAGGGCACTCTACCACTGGGCTACATCCCCAGCCTTTTTTATTTTTTGCTTTTGAGACAGGGTCTCAGTAGGTTGCTAACACTGGCCTTGAATTTTCAATCCTCCTGCCTGAGCCAGCCCACTGAGATTACTGAGATTACAGGTAAGCACCACTGCGGCCCGGCAATTTCAAATCTAGATCTGAGAAAGCCTACTCTAGAGAAGTGAATTCCTGAAGACAATCAAGGAGACAACTTCTGAGAATGCTAAATATAACTCACCCATTCCGGTCATATTTCTTGAACACCGGGAAAGCCTCCAGAGGGTCTCCAAGCTGTGGAGGGAAAGGAGAGGAGTAGCACAGACAGGTGGGTGGAAGTGCTGGCCCTGCCCCCAAATCCTGAGAGTAGAATGCCACAGGGACTCCTGAGGGGAGGAGAGCTCCTGGCCCCAGAAGCAGCCTTCCCAGGGCCCTCCATCTGCCTAAATTCTGAAATTACATGGAGGAGGGAAACTTTGGTCAAGAGGCACAGGAGTTAAATTTAGCTTCACCTGACAGGGTAAGAACAGACTTCACTGGCCTATGGGGCAGAATACTGCTCAAAGTACAGCTTACACAGAGGCCACAGGATTTACTCACAGTATAGCTAACACAGAGGCCACAGGATTTGCTCCTATCTTCACCTACTCAAATCTCCAAATTGAAAAATCAGTCCAAAGCTGTGTTCTTGTAGATGTGCAATTTTGATTATGAGAGAACTACAAGAATAATAAAAAGGAGCTGGGTACAGTGGCACAAGCCTGTAATTCCAGTTACACAGGAGGATGGCAAGTTCAAGGCCATCCTGGGCAACTTAGCATGACCTGCTTCAAAATAAAAAATAAAAAGGGCTGGGGATGTAGCTCAGTGGCAGAGCATCATTGGATTCAATCTGAAGTACTGCAAAATAAAAACAAATAAATAAAAATAAAAGAATAACAAAAGGTGAGATATGGGCTGGGGCAGAAGGATGGTCAGAATTTCTCAGGTTCAGTTTGGAGGCTGTGGCCACCAGGTTGCTCCCAGTCAGCCCATCTGGTGCTGATTCACAGACACTCCTCCTATGATTGGGGCCCCTAGAGGATTAGGCTGCTGCWTCCCCTTGGCCCAGCCTGAACAGTCAATGAATGTCTGCAGGAATGAATGAGAAAATTCATACCATGTTTCACTAAGGAGGAATTCTCCCCAAAATGCAAACTCTTAACAAAAATTTCTCAAGGCTCTCTACTATCAGTAAGAGAAGCTGCCACTGCCACTGGGATCCACGTCTCCCTGTACAACTGGGCCAACTGCTGGTCTCCCTCAGCAGATAGGAGGCAGAGGACGCGTGGGCAGTGTCACGATTCTGCCACACGGTGGCACCAAAAGAAGTCAAATTAAAAAGCAAGCTGAAGTTCCAAAAGGCAGAAGTGAAAAGAAGAGTCACCCTGTTGGCGGCATCCACTTTGGCACAGACAGCATCCATGGCTGCACRCTCCTCCAGCCGCTTCTGCTTCTTCTCCTTTGCTTTGCTTGACTTTCTCTGCAACAGGGAAAAGCCACACTGGTTGGAGGAGCTGAGGCCTAGCAAAGAAGAGACTTGACTTTCCCTTTGAGAAATCAAAGGGTCCCTGCGACCACAGGCCTGGCCCAGCAGCAGGAAGCCTCCCACCCAGAAGGCCAAACACTTGGTGTGTGACTTAAACAGGGAACACTGTTTCCTTGTCATGAGCCCTAAGCGGTGTCACTAGACTTCCTTTCAAGAAGAATACTGACCCCAATCACTGTGAGGACCCTGCAGCAGAGCAGGCCCCCAGCAGTGATGAATATCCACTMATGAGCTCCCTCGTGAGGAGGAAATACCCAATTTCAGGCCCATTCGGGGCAGCTTTCAGGGAGAYGGCATCTGAGGTAGCCACTAACAGCTGTTTCTAAGTGCAAGTTTATGCAAAGACTTTTGGGTATCTTCTGGCCACAAGAGAAAAAGGTATGAYTGGGGGTAGTCCTGTGGGAGCTAGGTCACCTTTCAGAGCAAGGACCAGGGAACTGTGAATACAGAGCCATTCCCAGCAGCGCTTTTCAGTGTTAGGCATACTGTGCACTTAGCTATAAGGGCAGAGTGAAGGGCCCCAAGGGGTTCGCCTCAGGCCAAAGGCGATGCTGCCAGTCAGCAGGACCAAGTAGTGGGTACACAGGCGGCAGGGGAGGGGAAAAGGGAGGCTCCCTGAGCAGAGGGGCAAACAGCAAGCTGCCCACAGCTATAGATCCTGTTCTGAGGCTAACATGAGGTTCTCTCTTCCTCTGGTGAAAAGCCAGGCTCAGGATTCTGACACAGCTCCTGCAAAGCCTCCTGTCCCTCTAGGTCCTAGGAGGACATGGCCCTTCTCTGAAGCCCCTTCCCTGGTCTGAGAGAAAGGTTCCTAATACCTCYATGATGGTATTAACATCAAAATGGTTATATGACAGGTGCTCAAAAAATGATGGTTCTCATTCTCACAAGGACCAGACAGCACAGCAGAGGAACTGACCCACCCAGTCCAAGTACCCCAAAGGCCTGGACAAGCTGGTTCTGCTCTTACCAACAGCATGGCCTCTCCAACACCAGCCTTCCTTTCCCAGAGCTCACTGGAGAAAGGTTTTGACAACCCACAATTACAGTCCAGCCCTGAAAAACTGGCCCCAGGAAAGGACACACAGCGATTAACATGCGCTTGAGTTAAAGAACCAGCTGCTAGGAAAAGTTTCTCAGGATAAATTCTGCCCCAGCAAATTTCTAAGAAATGACACCGCTTAACTCCTACTTCAAACAACAAGAAGAAGAGCCCAGACATCAGGAATTCACAGGGATTGATCTTAGAAGCACAAACCCCACCAGAGCCAGCTAGTAACTGTCTGGCTAAGCACTTTTTGCAAATGGCARTCTAGATCCCATTTTTCAGCTTCCTAGAGGAAAGGACAAACAGAAAATAGCCTGTCCTCAAGAGGCTGCAATCCAGATGCAGACCTACTCTCTCTCTACCTTGGGTAAGTTTTACAACATCCATATTTTTCTCTGTGAATTTAGGTTGTAAGACAACATTCAGACATTCACAGATTGCAAAGTACTTGCAAAAACATTATGTCACTCAGTTGCAGAGTGCTTGCTAAGCATGCCCAAGGCCCCAGGTTCAATCACTAATACCTTAAAACAAACAAACAAAAACTCAGTATGCAATTCAAATCCCAGAGCAGAAACCATCACCTCCCTTTACACATTAGGAAACTGAGGCTGAAGGCCAGGAGTGGTGGCAAATACCTATAATCCCAGCAAGTTGGATGGCTGAGACAAGAGGATCAAAAGTCCGATGCTAGTCTTTGCAACTTAGTGAGACCATGTCTCAAAATAAAAAGGGCTCAATGGTAGGCACCCCTGGGTTCAATCCCCAGTACTGCAAAATAATGATGATGATGATGATGATGATGATGATGATGATAATGGAAACTGATGCTCAAAGAGATGAAATGACTCTCCTGGACAGTAAGTGCCTAAAGGGAGATCCAACCCCAAGAGTGAGGCCATAGATCCAGGGTTTGTTTCACCAGCCCCACTGTCTCCCAGTAGGATAGCCTATGTCTAATGTGATAGGACTCCACTCAGTCATTAAACAAAGATCTTCTCACATCCTGCCAAGACCAGGGGCCTCAGAAGCACTCAGCAGCCCGTTCCTCATTGCCCGTGCACCTGGCAACAGCTTGCCAACAGAGCACACCTAGGCCCTGCCCTCCACACTGAAGCAGATGGAGAGAAAGCCCAGTCAGAGGGTCTCTGGGGCTGCACAATGGGGCAGAATAACATAAGCTTTAGCATCAACCAGATCAGGCCAATGGCCGTCCTGCCACCCACAACATGACTTGTGAAAGCAACTTATCTCCAGCAAGACAGGAATGTAAAGCTGGCCTCATAGAGGAGATGCAGGAAGGTCAGACACCAGCACACCTTCACAACAGAGGCAAGCTCCCTTCCTMTACCCCTAACACAATGTAGAGCAAAAGATGAAAGGTGCTGGTAGGCAAATGTGACTCCCAGGACCCAGAAAGCATTGAAACTTGGGTTCCCACCGCAGCATCTCATTTCTAAGCAAAAGAAGTAATTCCTAAGCACAAGCAGTAGGAGGGCCACCAGGCCTCCAGGTGATTTACTGGCTCATTCACACTCAGGAACTGGAAAGCCAGACAATCCTCAGAGTGAGGCAGGGTGCTGCTGTGGCCTGAGATAATGGAGTATGCCTTAAGCATTTTGCAGCCTGAAGAACACAGGGCAGAGGTGGGAGGCAGGCTGGAGCAGGCTGAGCCAGGCAGACGGCTCTCCCTCAGACCCAGCAAGCAARCACCAGGAAGAGTGGTCTCCTACTGTTCCAATTAGCTTTGCCCCTGCCTTGTGGAGGTAAGGCTGTSCTGCAGGGACATAGGAAAACTCTCCTAATTAAAATGGGAAATAAGTAAGTGAACAGTAAAGCTCATTGTGGCTAAGTGTCTCTCCCAAGGGAACTTTATATAATAAAAGAGTGTAGGCTTTTGAGTCAAGAGACCTGGATTTGATTCTCAGCTCTTTCACTTAATAGCTGTATGACTGTAGGCAATGTAAAACCTTTTCAGCAAGTTACTCTGTTTCTCTGAACCTCAGTTTCTTAATCCATAAAATGGGGCTAACAATGCCTACACTATTGGCCAAGAGGCTGCTGTGAGGACAAAATGGTATAACACACTGCATATAAAAATCCTTCATACTGTGAAAACAACCAGAGATATGAAAAATTGTGCTCTATATGTGTAATATGAATTGTAATGCATTCTTTTTTTTTTTTTTAAAGAGAGAGTGAGAGAGGGAGCGAAAGAGAGAGAGAGAGAATTTTTAATATTTATTTTTTAGTTCTCGGCGGACACAACATCTTTGTTGGTATGTGGTGCTGAGGATCGAACCCGGGCCGCACGCATGCCAGGCGAGCGCGCTACCGCTGAGCCACATCTCCAGCCCAAATTGTAATGCATTCTGCTGTCACATATAACAAATAAAATAAATAAAAGCAGAGAGACTCCACTTGCCAGAAACAAACATACCCAAAGGCAAGACCCCAATGCCCACCTCCTCCAGCCACACCTTACTCGCCTTCAGTTTCCACTCAATCCCATCAGGGGATTAATTTACTGATTGCATTAAGGATTTCACCCAATCAAAAAATCCTTCATAGTAACATCTTTTGTTAGTTACAAGGACCCACTAATGTTAGCCACTGCCAGTGCTTTCATAAATATCATCTGTTTTGGGGCTGGGGTCATAGCTCAGTTGATAGAGTGCTTGCCTCACAAGTACAAGGCCCTGGGTTCAATCCCCAGCACACAAAAATAAATAAATAAATATCATCTGTTTTAATAGGCTGTAGTAGTTCACACCAGCAAACCAGTGATTCAGGAGGTTGAGGCAGGAGGATCGCAATTTCAAAGCCAGCCTCAGCAACTTAGTAAGGCCCTAAGCAATTTATYGAGGTCTTAAGAAACTTAGCAAGACTCTATCTTAAATAAAAAATAAAAACAGGCTGGGGATGTGGCTCAGTGGTTTCAAGCACTGCTGGGTTTAATCTCCAGTACAAAAATAAAAGAAAAAATAAATCTGAAACAGAGAGGCGGAGAAAGGGTCACAGAGCCAGTAAGCAGAGTTCTCAGCAGTCTTCCTACACCTTCCCCCTGGACTGCACTCCATGAGCCAGATCTAGATCAGCTTTATTTGCCATTGTATACTAGGTGCTCAGCCAACAGTAAGTACTTAGTTCCTATCTGTTGGATGAATTATCTAAGACTCAAATCTAGGTTTGAACCACAAAGACCATGCTCCTCCCACTGTATCACATATGATACTTGTTAAAAAGTGCTATATAAGCTGGAGCAGGGGCACATTCTTGTAATCCCAGAGACTTAGCTAAAGCAGGAAGATCCCAAGTTCAGGACCAGTCTCAGCAACTTAAGCAAGACTGTCTCAAAATAAAAAAACAAAAAGAACTGGGGAGCCGGCATGGCAGTGCACGCCTGTAATCTCAGAGATTCAGGACGCTGAAGCAGAAGGATCAGAAAGTTCCAGGCCAGTCTTAGCAACTTAGTGAGACCCTAACTCAAAATAAAAAAGAGGTAGGGAGCTGGGCTTGGTGGCGTACACCTGTAATCCCAGAGGCTTGGAAGGCTGAGGCAGGAGGATTGCAAGTTGAAACAGCCTCAGCAACTTAGCGAGGTCCTATCTCAACACTACTCTCTCTCAACCTGAGGTCAGAAAAAACAGGGCCCTCTACCCAAGCGTGACCACTAGGAATAATGAAGTCCTGTCATCAGGTGACAGAAAGTCCCAATTAAAGTAGAATAAGGATAATTGAGAGGGTTCCAGCTCTGCAGCTTTGATTCAAGTAGGATAACTCAAATCTCTCTGTTGCTGTAAGGTGGTGATAGATGTCATTATTTTTTGCTATTGGGGAATGACCCCAGGGGTGCTCTACCACGGAACTATACCCCCAGTCCTTTCAGTTTTTACTTTGAGACAGGGTCTTGCTATATTGCTCAGTCTGGCTTGGAACATGCTATCCTCCTGCCTCAGCCTCCCAAGCTGCTAGGATTACAGGAATGGGCCACCACAACTAGCTTCTTGCTGAGTTTTAAGCCAGAAGAGACTTTTCAGGGGCTGTTCTAAGAAACATGTTTATAAAGTATGAGTAATAAGACTGGGGCCTAAAGGAAGCAAGGTTTGCAGTATCTCTAAAGCCTAATATTTCAGCTCAACCAATGAAGAAGTGTTAAACCAGAATGGCACCTTATCCTTGTTTTTGGCTCAATATTTAATGACTCACTCTGGGTAGACATAAGTGATACTAGAGACACAGGTTTCCTTTAGTTCCAACAGCTGGGGTCTGGGATCTTTATAGGTTAAAGTCTCCAGACTTGATTTTCTAGATATAAAATATACAAGGACCCACTAGTGTCAGACACTAGTATACTAGTGTCAGACTAGTACTCCAAATTTCTCATCAAAATATGACAAATGTTTGTTGGGGAGGGTTGGTGCTGGAGATTGAATGCAAGGCCTTGCACATGCTAAGCGCATGTTCTACCACTGAGCTACATCCTCAGACCCTAAAAGATTTTTTGTTTTGTTTTGCAGTACTGGGAATGAACCCAGGCCCCCAGGGATCCTGGGCAAGGGCTATACCACTGAAGGACACCCTCAGCCCTGGAAAATCTGTTTTGACATGGACAAGACAATTATTTTTGTATAAAAAGTTATCTGTTCAGTCAATAAATATTTGAGTAAGAGAAAAAAATCTAGGTTAATAACAGTAGGGACAAATCCAGTGTGTTAAAAATAGCACCAACTTATTTTAGCCCACTCAAGTAAAGGCTGAGAATACAGGCAAAAATAACAACCACTATTTTTGAGGTACCTACTTGGTTATTTACTTCCTTTAACTCCTTTTATCTTCACTAGGACTCTAAGGGGGAGGTAKCATCACCCCCAATACATAGGTGAGGAAATTCAAATCCAAAAAGGCCATRTCACTGGCACAATGTCACACTACTAGCCAACGAAGATGGCTAGTAGGGGCACTGAGGCATCTCTGGTTCCAAGTCAGGGTTCCCTTAAGGTGGTGGAAATTCCATGTAAATACCAATAATAGAGGGAACCAGTTATCGTTTTAGGAGAGTGACTGGTACTTCTCAAATTGGGCTTTAGGTGAGCTCAGAAACATGGAATTACTTCTACCCAACCCTATATCTCTATATGCCAGGAAAGGGCACTGAAATATTAGCACCTCCCTGCTATCAGCACAGAACAGGTAGTCAATGGTCATCACCAGCGGTCCCCCATCTTCCCAGCTCACATGCCCACCTTCCCCCATGAAAAGCCACCTGCAGCGCTAAGACGACTGGCCACCGGGCAGGTGGGCCTGCGTGGGACGGGAAGACGAGGTTTCACCAGGGCAGGAGGAGCACTGTGGAGAGCTTTCAACAGCGCAGCAACGGGCTACACTGAGACTCGAGGAGCGGGAGCCACTGAGGTGGGGTCTGCAGCCCCAGGCACTGCCTGGGTGACCTTGGCCGGGACGCCCTCTTTCCTCCTGGCCTCAGTTTCCTCCCAGCCAGGATTGGCGTCCGAATTGGGCAGCCGCTTCGCCAGTGACAGCCGGGTGATGCGGGACCCCGGGGAGCAGGGGGCTACACCGCGGGGACCCGCAGGTGGGGAGGCCGGTAACGGGTCTCCCAGGCTGGAAGGGGCGGGCATGAAACGAGGGGCAGGGGGCACCGAGGGGGAGGGGCCGGAAAGGGGGGCTCTCGGGGATTCCTGGGCTAGGCCGAACTTGGGGACCCTCAGAATGGGGGAGTCGGGTCATGTGGGGGCTGAGGGTCACGTGAGGCCTGAGGGGGCCCGGGTCACGTGAGGAGATTCAAGAAACAATGGGGGCGAAGGGGGCGAGGGTTACGAGGGGCGTCCCTGGACCTCCTGAGCCCTCTCCCTGTCCAACTCACCCCCATGGCGGTGGCAGTGGCGGCGACCCTCGGCTCCTCCTTCACACACTTGCAGGCAGGGAGGCGGCAACGGCTGCTGCGGCAGCGGCGGCGGCGACACCAGAGCGGCGGGTCTTGCACTGCGCATGCGCCCCGAGAGCTCCCCCGCGCTCCCTGGCGGGCACCGCGCCGGCGCAGAACGGGAGATGGCGAGCGGGGAGAGCGCGCAGGTGGAGCGCCCGCCAGGCCGGCCGAGGGTCTCGGACCAGCAGGGCGGGCGGCGCAGAGGAGCGTCGCGCTGGGAATGACGTTTCCGTCGGGCCCCGCCTCCCCGCCAGGCTGTGTCTGTAGCTATGGCAACGGCCGCGCGGGGCCTGGCGGAGCGCCCTACCCAGAAGCGCCGCGCAGCTGGGCTGCGAGGTGGGTGGCAGCGCCGCCCTGAGCTCCGTGCCTCCACCGCCCTGCGCCAAGCAGCCGCTTCTACMGGCCAATCGCGTCCCGACCTCTGAAATACCGGCTCCTCCAGAGCCTCTCAGGCACCGCGGAAGACTTTGGAAGCTTTCCCACCTTCCAGAGCTTGGCTCTAGGAATTCCTTTTCTAGCCCGAGTCCTGTTATTCATTCACCCACCGTCTAATCATTCACTCGCCCTCCATTCATTCGCTCGCGCCGAGTCCAGGGGCCCACCGCACCGGAGCGAGAAGCCGGAGAAGCCCTCGCCGCCCGARCTTCGCTGTTTACAGGGAAACGGGACCTAACGACTGCTTGAGCTGTTTTAACGCCGCCGCTAAAATGAGACCTCAGGTGTCCTGGGTAGTATTAATTTCAATCTGTCCCCACAGCCGGGAGGGTGGACCCCCATGATCTGCATGGGAGTCACCTGGGGAGTGTGTGCTGCTTGCAAACCCCTGGKACTACCCCCAGAATCCCCGAGGCATCCAGAGTCCGAAGTGCTCCCCCGGTAGAGGTGTAGTCAGAGAATTAGAGAACCGCTGCTCAAGACTCCACAGACTTTATCGGATTTTTTTTTTTTTTTGATACTGCGGATTGAACCCATTGAGCCATATCTCCATCCCTTTTTATTTTTTATTTTGAGATGGAGCCCGTTAAGTTGCTGAAGCTGCCTTTGAACTTGCAGTCTTTCTGCCTCAGTTTCCTGAGCTGCAGGAATTTCAGGTGTTTATTACCTTGCCCGGCACTTTATAGGATTTTATGATTATTTCACCTTCAGTGCTCAGTGCAGTGGTGGCTCCAGCAACATTTATTGAGTGCCTATTGTATGTTAGGCACTATTCCAATCAGCAAAGAAATAACACAAGCTAGGTGTGGTGGGATGCACCTGTCGACCCAGGTACTCTGGAAACTGAGGCAGGATTGTTTGAGCTCAGGGTTTCTAGCCAGCCTGGGCAGCATAGTGAGACTGTCTCAAAAAGAGAGATAGAGGAAAAAATAATAATAATACCAAACAAAAAATCCCTGTCCTTGCATCCTAGAAAGAGGCAGAACCAAGCCTGGGGCAAACACTTATAATCTCAGCGGCTCAGGAAACTGAGGCAGGAGAATTGCAAGCTCAAAGCCAGGCCCAGCAATTTAGTGAGGCCCTAAGCAACTTAGCAATACTTGTCTTAAAATTAAAAAAAATAGAAAGGACTGGGTTGTGGCTTGGTAGTTAAGTGCCTCTGGGTTCAATCCCCAGGGGAAAAAAAAAAAGTAAAAATAAAAGAAGAAAAAGAAAGAGGCAGATAATTACACAGTGCATTAAATGATATTCTATAAAGGAAAATAAAGCAAAGGAGGCTAGGCATCATGACACATACCTGTAATCCCAGTGACTCAGGAGGCTGAGGCAGGAGGAGCCCAAGTTCAAGGCCCCCTCTTTCCTTTTTAGGTGGTGCTGGGGATTGAACCCAGGGCCTTGTGTAGGCAAGGCAAACACTCTACCAACTGAGCTGTATCCCCATCGCTAGTGAAACCCCATCTCAAATAGAAAAGTCTAGGGAGGTAACTTGGTGGTAAGTGCCCCTGGGTTCAATCCCCAATATGGGGGGAGCACAGTGAGGCTGGTGCAGATTGGGTCAGCAGGAGAATAGTAGGAGGTAGAATTAGGCAGGTAAGGTGAGCATCATTTAGGGCTTGTAGGTTTTAAAAGACTTTGGGATTTACAGTGAGCAAGGTCACTATTGGGAAGTTAAGTGGAGGAGTGGTAAGGCTGGCTTAATGTGTTTAGAGGACCACAAGCCTGCGGGTTGAGAAGACAGGTTAGGGGCAAGGCCATAGGAAGGACAGTACAAAGGCCAGTGTAATTGAGGCCCCACAGCTGGATAGAGCAGATGTGTCAGAAGGCCTCAGGGAATGATGCATATGGGAAGGTAGAGCCAGAACTTGCTAGCAGATTGTATATGGGGTGTGAGGGAAAGAGAAGGTAACTTCAAGGTTTTTAGCTTGAGCTGTTGGAAAAATGTCTTCCATTGAGATACAGATTATTTTATTTTTTTAATATTTATTTTTTAGTTATAGTTGGACACAATACCTTTATTTTATTTATTTTTATATGTTTCTGAGGATCGAACCAGGGCCTGGAACATGCTAGGTGAGAGCTCTCCTGCTGAGCCACAATCCCAGCCCCTGAGATACAAATGATTTTAGAAGGAGCAGGTTTTGGGGTGGTAGGGATGGGAAATTGGTTTGGGCCACTTCAGGTTGGAGATGCATTTTTTTAAATATATATTTTAATATCTTTATTTTGTTGTTTGTTTATTTTTATGTGGTGCTGAGGATCAAACCCAGTGCTTCACATGTGAGAGGCAAGCCCTCTGCCACTGAGCCACAAGCCCAGGCCCTGGAGATGCCTTTTAGACATTCTCATGGAGATACAAATCTTAGCTCATTTAGCCACTTAGCATATGGAGGATATTGGTCTGGGGCTATAGCTCAGTTGGTAGAGTGCTTGCCTTACATGCACGAGGCCCTGGGTTCAATTTCTAATATCACAACAGCATATGGAAGGTATTATAAGCCCACAGAGAGAGCCGTAGGTGGACTTGAATGAATCAATGAGTCTTTTTTTTAACCAGGCTGGGGATGGAGCTCAGTGATCCAGTGCTTGCCCAGCATGTGTGAGTCCTGGGTTTAATCCCCAGTGCTGCAAAAAAAAAAAAAAAAGAGAGAGAGAGAGAGAGAGAATCTATTGCAGCTGCTACCACTCTGGGGACCAGGAGAGGGTAGTAAGGACAGGACAAAGGTGGCCAACTGGGGAAAAGGGACATCTGAGCTTGTCCTTGAAGGAGGAGGAGAGGAAGCATGAGATTCCAACAAAAGCAAGGTATTTGCAGAGCAGAGAGACTTGAAGGAGTCTGGGTAAGGACAGGGGACTGAGCCAGGCAGCCTTCACCCTGTTGGGGCTTTTCCTGTCTCCTTCCTCACACTGAACTTTATGGTCAGCTGTTCAGTGCAGATGACAGCCACAATGCTCCCGTTGTGCCCTGTCCCTTCCGCTACTCCCCACTCTTGGTCACCCTCCCCCAGGCTGCTAGATTTTATTTATTTATTTATTTAGTGGTGCTAGGGATGGAACCCAGAACCTAGAACAGGCTGGGCAAGAACTCCACCACTAAACTACATCCCCTACAGAGGAGACCTGGAAGGGGAGCCCAGTAGTCCCTCGGGGGAGATGACATCATCTAGCCTCCCCCTCCCCCAGCCTGAGAAAGCCAATATCCTATTCCTGCCCCCAAATCAACACCCTTCTCTTCAGGGCTCTCCCCCTTGCTCAGGGCCTTCTTGGTCTTGGTTGGTGATGGGCAGAGCCTGCCTTGGAGGCAGACCGGCTTCCTGCTGCTTCCTGGCTTTTTGACATTAGGCAAGGTACTTAGCATCTCTGAGACTCAGTTTCCTCACTTATATGGAGGCCATCAAAAGTAATCACCACCCTCATCTGCATCTTCTCCCAGGGGTGGCTGTGAGAATTAAAAGGTGGATAGTGACATCAGACACCTGGTGAGGCCCAGGGCAGGAAAGGAATCCCCTCCCTTCCCCATGGAACTTGGCCTTCAGTGAGGAGACTTTCTTCGTGGCCCACTKAACCACTGTCCCAGCCCCTACTAAGGAGCTGAGCAGCCCTTGTTCATTCCCCTCCTCTCTGGACAGGGATGCTGTCCCTCCTCTCTCAGGGCTCCCGAAAGATTGCGTCGCCTTGCCTCTAACAGCTGTTCCCCCCACCTGACACTCCACAGCCCTCAGCTGCTCCTGTGTAGTCATTCATTCTCTGGCTCAGTCAAGTCCTGGGAACTACTGGGGCTTCTGTGTATTCTCCTGGGGACTGACAGGAGAGGCAGCCTGCTCCTTGGCTAGGGAGAACACCTTGGAGGAGCAGTCGTAGCACTGTGTTAGCCGCTGGCAGGTGAGAGTCCCCTGACTTCTCAAAAAGAATCTGAATCCCCCCCTCCCACCACCCATCATCCCCACCAGCCGCTCTGGGTCCCTTTCTGTGGTCACTCTGTCCCTCGCTGGCTCCTGCTGGTTCCTGCAGGCTCTCAGCCCTCCCCACCCTCACAAGCTCTACGTCTATCTCACCATGCCCAGCGCACCACCCCTGAGATCTGCACCCCACCTTCCCCTGAGGACACCCCCAGTTGTACTTCTCTGTCTGGGACCTCCTCTTCTGGCCTTGCCTGCCACATCTCACCCTGTTTTTCATGCCCTCTTTCCTTGGCTTCTGCGACACCACACACCCCCATTCTCCATTTTTCTGAAATGCACATCTGGCTGGGTCAGTTAAGTCCATGCAGGGCTGCAAATTCAGCCCCTTCCCACCTCACCAGGGCCCCCCACTCCACGCCCTGGGTCTCAGCATCTCAGAACCTTACCGTGGGCCTTCGCTGTTCCCTCTGCCAGAAGGCCTCTCCTCCCTCCTCACCCTTCAGGGCCCAACTTAGATGGCAGGTGCCTTCTCTCGCTCCACGTGGCATCTTCCCAGCCTCTCCCCATGCCCTTGCCAGCTGCCCTGTTAAACCGTCAGTTCCCTGCAGTGGGGGGCTGTGCTTTTCTCCTACACTGCGGTTAGGGTTGCAGATTCAACACAGGGGACAAACTTCAACTCACTGTTTATCTGAAGTTCACATTTAAGTGGGCATCCCATATTTTCATATTCTAAGTTTGGAAACCTTAACTGTTGTACCCCTGGGACCCAAATGGCACCTGGCAGACAGCAGGCACTCAGTAAATGTCAGTTGGATGGATAATAGGCAGGGATGGCAGCAGGA